TGCTTTTGATAAGGCAAATGAAGCAGGTCTTACGGCGGTTCATAGATATCGTGCTGAACCTGTCGCTGAGTATGAAGCTTTAGAAAAATATTTTGGTAGTAGAAGAGATAATCCTCGATACATTTATTATATACCTGAACCTGATATGATTGAAACTTGGCTTGAGGAAACTGAAAAGGAGGAAAAACAAGAATTACGTCATATGGGTGCTGAATTGGCAGATTTTGATTATAGCGATTATGATGATGATGATGATGATGATGATGATTATGATGATGATGATGACAATCAAGGTGATAACTGATAATAAGAGTTGCACGTGAATTCTCTTGCAAAAACGTTTTCAATTCTAACATAAATCAAATTTTATTTTAAATTTTAGATAATTCATTGTACTCAAAAAAATATCAACATACACAAGATGAAGGTTCTTCGAATAGTATGGAAATAATATCTAATATTGATAAAATTTCATTTATGGATGAAGAAACTTTTCTGTCAAAATTTGCTTCTAAATCAAACATGAAATCACAGAGAAATTGGAAATCAAGCAACACATTATTAAAGAAAACCAGTTACAATAAATCAAGTAATGAATCTTTATCCAAAGATCCAGGTTCGACAAACGTTGACAATCAATTATCAATGCAAGAAAAATTAAATAACCTAGAAAATGAATTTAAGAAATTTTCAACGAAATTTGATGAATTAGACCAAAATTTAAAAACAATATTAAAAACTTTAAATAACATAAATAATCCCAAATAGTGGTATTTAAGAAAAAATTTTAGTGATTCGAAAAATCGGACGATTATATTATTATTAAAAACGCAATTTTGTGAGAATTTTTATTATTATTTTAATAATCTTTATATTTTAAAGATAATTAAGAGAGAGCATCGAGAGAGAGTAATGTGTAACAAGTAATGAATTCATGTTAAAAATATAAACAAACGTTTCAAATATAAAAATTTAACTACAGCTATATGACCCCAGTTTGACGCTTGAATTTTATTGACTTGTTTCACAATATAATTAATGTGCAATCCAGTCATATTAGATGACTTGTTGTGGCGCTGAATCTTGAGCATAAATGTGAATTGTTGTTGCTTTATCTAAATTAAAAATTTAATAAATCATAATTAATAATAATAATTTATGATACTAATAATAATTAAATTAGATATATTGAGAAATAAAAACTTAAATTTCACGAATTGAAATATGTTAAAATATTATTAAAACATTAAAAATTATTGCGGTTAATAATAATAATGAAAATTGTTACTACTCACCGGGTTGTTATAGTTATTGTTGTTATGTTGTTGTCTTTTATATTTTTAGAATTATTATGTCCGTGATCATTAGAGTAAACATTTCTATTAGAATATTCATTAAAACTAATAATAATTATTCTATTGAATATTTTGAATATATATATATATTGATATTTATTCTTATTCGCCCATTTCACCTCATCCATTTTGAATTATTTGAATTATTTTATTATTTTATTTAATTATTTCAATTTTTTTCGATATTTCGTCCACAATTAATTTGATTATTTGATTATTTGAATAACATTAAATTGATTATTATTATTCATTTGTTCTTGAAATTAAATTCATGAATAATTATTATCAATTATTTTCTTGGGGATATAAAGCGCCGAATGAGAATAATTGATTAATATATAATATATTTAGATCGGAAGAGCAC